TAATTATTATTAAAAAATTTATAAAACAATAATTACAAACATATGTGAAGCTAAAAATCTTTTTTGACTAGGAGCAAGAAATTAAAATATTTCAAAACGCAATAAAAAAAACGCAAAAAGATATGAAACATAATTACCTAGATAAAATAGTTTGAACATAAAGCATATTATAAATCACAAATCTTCTATATTATTTATATGATTTTTATAAATACATTTTCTTTTAAGTAGATAAATTTCAAACTTTTTAGAATAATTTGAATACAATGACACATGATAGAAGCTTCTATATTATATTGATTAGATATTCATAAAAAGGTACGGAGTAAATTATCTTTTAATTTTTTTATAATTCAATCTCAAAATATATCATATAACCCCCTCTGTCCTATTTTTACGTGTCTTGTTTGGCTAAAATGAGTTGATTGAAATTTTTTTAATTCAATTTTTCATAATATGTTTAGTATAAGTACATAAAAATTTATAAATTTAGAAACGAACTGCATTAAAAATCTAATATAAAAATTTATATATTTAATATAAAAAAATTTCATAATATGTTTAGTATAAGCATATGAAAATTTATATATTTAAAAACTACATTAAAAATACTTCTCCGTATTAAACACCAAAAATCAATAAAAATAAATTTTTAAAATATACATTAGAATATAAGCAAAGAAGTAAAGTTGACGAATTCTAAAAAGTAATAAAAATAAAATTTTAAAATATACATTAGAATATAAGCAAAGAAGTAAAGTTGAGGAATTCTAAAAATCAATAAAAATAAAATTTTAAAATATACATTAGAATATAAGCAAAGAAATAAAGTTGAGGAATTCTAAAATGTGAAGGGAAGGGTTGGATCACAGGCCTTTGATTAAATGATGTTAAAATTCAAGTATCTTACCAACCAAGCTAATTCACCTTATTGTAAAACATATGTATATAAATTACTTATACTCAATACATATATACTATGTATATAAGCGATAGGATGGGGCCCTCCTCCAATCATGGGCCCTGGGCAAGGGCCCAGCCTGCCCTTGCCCCAGGGCCAGCCCTGGTCCGTACGGCCATCATAACTTTTCTCCCCGGAGACCTTCAAGTCGAGGGGGTATGGCTGAGCCATTACCTCCGCTGTAAAAGGTGTCCTTAGCAAGGACGCCTGGTCAATCGGGGGTGTCACTGGGTGCTCGTTTTGAAACCGAGCAAACTCCGCCTGGAGGTTGTAAAGCAATCCTCGGGTCTCGTTGAGCTCGGCCGTCTGGGCGGCTTGGGATGACTCCAGAGCGCGTCGTCGACGGTGAGATCTCGACCCGCTATGTCCGGACGAAGCCTCCTGGATGGCTTCCTGCATCTGCATGTCTCCCGGTTGCCGGCTCGGGTCTTGGGATCCCAAGAGTTGTCGCAACGCCGGTCGGAGACGATCGAAAGCCACTGCCCGATTGACTTCCTCGGGGTCTTCCACTTGGGCTGGAGCCTCCGGTGCTTGTTAGGCCTGCCGTGGTGCCTTCATCGCATCAGCACCGCCCGACCCCAACCGCGAACGAGCCAAGCGTCAAGCCCGGGAAGTGGGTTGATGCTGCGGCTCTACCTGTGCAGTCGGGTAAACTGGAGGGGCGGCGGCTGGAGCCGTGTACGTAGGCGTGTATGGTGGATAGCCAACTGGTGGCGTGTAGTACATCGGTTGACCGGGCCAATACCCGTACGGTTGAGGTGGGACCGGGTATGGATATTGGCCGGGATACGGCATCTGCTGCTGCTGGTATTGCTGACCGGGTGTTGGGTATCCCGGCTGGATGTAGTTCACCGGCTGTTGGGCAACCTGGTATGTATTTGATGGATGGGGTGGTGAGAGATTGAGGTTGAGGTCCATATTCTGACCTTGTTGCTGGGTCGGTTGATGATCGGATGAGCTAGCCGCATCCTCTTGATCGTCGGCGAAGAGGTTTTGTGCCTACGGATACATGATTGCTAAGAGACCGGGTGCTCGTCAAGACGTTAGCTTTCTCGCACGGGTCCCCACGGACGGCGCCAAAATGATAGTACTAATTGCCACGTAAGCGGTAATTAAATAAACACGAGACCAATTAAAGCAATTAAATAACTCTTATTGATCACTGTGAAGAGGCCCTAAGTACAATCTAAATGGGTGCTCTGAGTACCGACTGACTGCGGTCGGGATTCTCTAACAACAACCTATCGATCGTCCAAAAGTCCCTCCCACTGTTGCTATCGCGGGTATTTATAGCCGCGGAGCCGGAGACACAAATCCGGCCGCCCGGCATGCTTCCCACGTAGCAACCACGTGTCGCCTTCCCGGGTGCCCTGCCTGTCAACGCGTAGAGTCGTCACGTGTCTCTCACTAACTCTCTCGCTAAAGGGCTACTGCTCGGTGGTCGGCAACGTCGATCGGGCACTACCCGGTCGGGAACCGACCGGGTTCTTCACAAGAAACCCGACCTGTAACCTGCAAAGAAAAGAAGAAAAGGACGAAGGCACTAGGGTCGGGGTAACGGTATGTCGGTCGGGGTATTCCCTACCAGTGATGATAGAAATAAAGAATTTGATTTACTTAATAATTTCAATCTCTATCATGAAGCTTAATTTTATGATGTAAACTTTATATCATTTTTCTTAATTTGCCCACAGGGATTAAGAAAAAGAACATATTTCTTAAGTTTTTATTATAATGGTTGTAATGAATCTAATTGAATTAAAACTTCGGTCCACATGCAAGTTTTATGTCACTTGATTCTTCAACTAATTTGATAATTGTTTCATCATGTAAAAAACATGATCATTCAAAAAAAATAGTTTCCCTTTACCTTTAGAAATTGTTTTGAATGATCATATTTTTTACATGATGAGCAATAATATGTAAAAAGATTGCTACTTGCTCATCAACAAGCATATTTATTGTTGTCCTTAACCCTCCTTTAGTTTGTAACATTGCACACAACTTTACAAAAGTATGTCGATTCATCTTAAGTTTTACACAACTTTACAAAAGAACCTCAACGACGGCAATGTGGAATGATACCCAAAGTTGGCAGATCATTTGTGCGCATCGACATTCGGTCTTGTCTACTGAGTCATTGAATCACTTTACATCATCTCAAATGCTCTGTTGGGCTGGGATGTGGGGATCCTTGGAGTTGGGAATTTAATCGTTTGGGAGAAGAAGAATACATCGTTCGTAACATATATTCTCAAAACCCTAAAGTATTAATAATATAATATTTCACTCATTTTTCTTAGAACACAAAATTGTCAAGGTAGAAATCATCATTATGAATAATAAACTCACAGAAGCACACATATCCCATTACAGACACAATACAACTACAAATCTTTTTCTTCTTTCAATATGTGTTATTAAACGCAATCAATGCATAATTGCAAAGTAAATTAAAAAGTTACAATACTCAAGACAATAACAATAACACATACATAATATATGAAACGCACACACATATATACAGATAGATAAAATCAAATACATAAATAATTTCTAAAAATAAAGTATAGAAAAATACCTTTTGTTTGAAGTTTGAAGATGAATTCCAATATTAATCAAATGCAAATGTAGAAAGAGATGAGAAGATAACGTAAAATTTTTTGAAATAGTTTAATACTAGGGGAGGCCAATAATAGATATTCCCCTTGTAAGGAAATAGCTCATTTCCATGAACAATATTCCTAAGAATATAAGGGGTTGTTTATCAAAATGGACAAATGGAGAAATTTTTTTAAAAAATAGAGAATTGAAGAAGTGAAAAAATGGAGAATGGAAAACTTGTGAGTTAATGCCCAATATAGTATTCGACTATAGTAATTTTACTCGATTTAGTCCTAAATGACTTTTTATACTTAATTTAGTCCTCGACTTTGATGATTTTACTCAATTTAATCTTTCGTTAACAATTCTGTTTGTTGGCCGTTAAAAGAAGGGTCAACATAGTAATTTATCCTCCCTCTTTTTTTTTTTTTTTGTTCAGATTACCATCCTCTCCATAAAATTTATGAAATTACAGGACACTAGTGCTAAGATACTAGCTAGTAGCTACTAATGTAAGACATAATAAGAGTAAATATTTCTTAAGCAAACACTTGTTTTGGTAAATTAATCTCAAGAATCTATCTCTGGGAAATTAATGGGGTTTGAACATGAACCATGGTTGATCAAAATGTTTGGTGGTGGAGGAGCAAGTTCTTTGAGGAGGCATTTTTCATATCAAAGTTGCTGCATTTCTTAATTTCAAAATCCGTGTTCTTTTTGGAGCTTCTTTGCAGTTCATTGGCATTTCTCTTTCACATCCTTAATCTCTTCCTCTAGAATGACATTGGCATTCACATTCTTTCCTTTATATATTTTCTTCTTTCCCGATAAATCAAGATTAGTCAAACAATTAAACCCAAATTCACAGCAAATTAAAGAAAGAATAAAAATGTATTGTCAATTTAAGGGGATTTTACCATCGATGAGGAAGAGGGATGGAGAATTATGGAGAGGAGAGCATTCTATTCTTCTTTTAATAAGTAATTGTTAACGAAAGATTAAATTGAATAAACCATCAAAATCGATGATTAAATTGAGTAAAACCACTATAATCAAAGACTATATTTGATATTAACTTGAAAACTTGTTTACTAAAATCATTACTCCAAATCCCATTCTATCTCCATTCTCCACTTTTTCAATATATTTGGAGAAGAGATAAACAAAGTTCTCCAAATGGAGTGATGCACATGAACAGTGTAAAATAAAATACTTAATTTAACAGGAAACATTAATTGAACACATCCAAATCTATATCTTTTTTTTTTTTTTGAAAGCAACACATCCAAATCTATATCTTTAACTTCTCTATTATGTAAGAATTAAATCAATAATTTTATTATTTTTTTTTTTTTAAAAACCACAACCCAAATATGCACCCAAAATAAAACACCCTAGCAGCCCCGTTTCATCATATTCAAGCATTTTTTTTTTAAAGAGAATACTGTATCTGAAAACTAAGTCTGGGAACTGGGAGGTTAAACAGGTATCTTGAATGAACATAAGGAACGGGAAAACAAAAATAGCACTCCATACTAGACAGGTTGTTATAACAGAGATGTTTTTCATTGAACAATGCCAAAATAGATTAGAAAATTTTGCAAACAATGACATTTTCATTTTTCTTGAGAAATACAAAAACATCACTGCCAGCAGAAATTTCGCCATCCATTGCCTGTCTTACTGATCGCTCGGCATGCTCTTAATGATATCAGAATCGCCTGAACGTACAAGTAATAAAATTAAAAAATTAAAAAAAAAAAAAACACACACACACACATCAGATACAATAACAATAATTCAAGGCATATTGACAAAAATAATTGATAGCTGCAGACGTACCAGGATCTATAATGCTGAGGCAGCATACCCGGTAATATTTACCACAAGCAGTCCCCAAATCTACGTTGTCTGAAACAAAAAGAACGTCTCTTAGACTCCTATGGTCTTACCCAATGAAATATTCAATGCAGATGGTAATGCGAATCTCAAGAGCAATACCCAAAAAGGGAAATGAAGTACCATCAATAGTAATAACATAACTATCCAAGCTTCATGCCCTTATCATTTCTTATACTGAAATACTAGTACTACAATACTTTTGTTGTAGTTTGAACATCACTGGTTTATCATTTGTTAAGACTGATCAATTGACTCATTTCTTCCTCCTAAAGACCCTTTATTCAGATTCAAACCAAAGCACAGCATGTTTAGCAGGAACAATTGAAAACTGAACAACCATTACAGGTACAATAACAAAAAACAGGTGGCAAGAATCACTACGAGTAAGGTAAAGAACAGAACGAGACAATATATGATGTTAACAACGCTAGTTAAAAATCAGTGTAAACTAATTAATATTTAGATTTTTTAGTACCATATGGACTTACTTCCATTGTAGTGGTGAACACCAACCTTCGCCAACATAGCATAGTACTCTATTTCCGACTTCCTGAGTGGAGGACAGTTGTTGGCAATGATAATCAATTTCCCTGAGAACAATTTTAAAAATGCCGAAAAGCATTCAGACCATAACTGGAAACCCATCTCTGTTTCTCCAGACTAGTTCACTAATATACACTGTAATAATAACATAAGAACTAGTGGAAAAATCTACAATCAATTTTTCCCATCACCACAAAGCACGCAGAAATACTGAAAGCTTCCATGGCAACCAATCTAAATGCAATTCATATTAGCAGATAACTAAATTCAAAATAACAAAATTTGCGTCTCTTAACTTATTGCCATAAGCAAGTAAAGCAACCCTATTAGTCAATCTAATTGAACTAAAAAATAGTGGAAAAATCTACAATCGATTTTTCCCTATCACCACAATGCACACAGAAATACTGAAAGCTTCCATGGCTGGCAACCAATCCAAACCAATTCATAGTAGCAGGTAACTAAATTCAAAATATCAAAATTTGCATCTCTTAATTTAATGCATAAGCAACCCTAATGGTCAATCTAATTGAACTAAAAAATAGTGGAAAAATCTACAATTGATTTTTTCAGCACACAGAAATACTGAAAGCTTCCATGGCAACCAATCTAAACGCAATTCATAGTAGCAGGTAACTAAATTCAAAATAACAAAATTTGAATCACTTAAGTTAATGCCAAAAGCAACCCTAATAGTCAATCTAATTGAACTAATATTCATATGCACCTATCAGCTTCCAATTAACTGTTATCAGAAAAAAAATATACTCAAGTGCGAAAACAATACCTTTCGAGCTTCTGAGGGACTTGAGGACGGTTTTGTATCCCAATGTGTATTTTCCACTCTTCATAACAAGAGCTAACCTATTGTTAATGCTCTCATGAGTCTTCTTCTGTAGATCATCACACGTAACCAAAACCAGTAAGCCATATTGTCCAAAGTAACAACTACACAAATACAAATCCCTAAATGCAGAACATTAGAGATAAATGTGTGCGTATGTGTAGATATGAAAGGAGGCTTACGGTCTTCTTGGCTGCAACCATGGTGGCGCTTTGGCTAGGACCGGCGATTGGAACACTGCAATGCACTCCTGAAACCGAGCGAGCCGATTGCGGCGGAGAGGCGACCCTGAAATGCAAAAAGAAATTCGAGTATATAACACTGCACTGACAGGAAGAGTAGGGTTTTGCACATTTGCCAGAGGAAGAAGAGATATGGGCTCGTTAGAAATTTCCAGACCTTTCCGTAGCCCAATTGGCCTGCAAACTTTTAACGGCCCACTTGATTGGCAAAGATTTTGGCGGCAAATTATGTTGTGCGGGAATGGCAATTGAACTCGCTCCCGACAGGAAAAATGATTCCCGTTTTAACGAGAAAGGGTTTGGGAATTTATTTTGGAGAACGGGAGTAGGGATGTGGTGAATTTTTCAATTCCCGCTGGGGACAGAAACGGGGACGAGGAGGGAATTCCCCGCCCCGGCCCCGGCCTCGACCCTAATCCCCACCCATCCCCGAATCCCCAACTAATAATATTAATATTCTATATAAATTAATATCTCTCTTGTATATATTTAATCACTAGTATTTGTCCCGTGCGATGGACGGTATAAAATTTAAGTATCTTTATTAAATCAGTTATTATATTAAAACATCACAGCATACTATTAGCATATATTATAAAGCATTGTGTTATTAGATACCACATGAGATTTTAAAATTTTACATTCAAAAAATTAGATACACACGCACGCACACATTTTTATAACAAATTTTAAAAATTAGTAAATTAAACTATATACAATAAATAAATGATTCTTTATTTTTTCATGAGAAAATATAAATGATGTTATAAAATTTCAAACGTGAGAGAAGAGTATTAATACTCATGCCCCATGTGATGCACAAACTTCAAAAAATTGTTTATAGCATTTTAATTATTCAAAATGAATTTATTTATTACACGCCAATTAAGTTAAATATATTTGAAGAACAAAAAAAGAATATGAAGAATATCTTAATGAATAAAAAACACTTGCGTCAAATAAAAAAATGAATACCATAACCAAAGCATCACACGGGAAGCTATCTCCGCAGTAACTTACCCGTGCGATGCACGGTATATAAATTGTAAAGTATTAATGTGCGTGAGTCTTGTGCATAATGTGCCTGAGATTTGTACTTAATGTGTGTGAGTATGTAACGTTAATGTGCGTGAGTTTTGTACTTAAGATGTGTGAGTTTTGTGCCTAAGGTGCGTGAGTTGTGTGCTTAATGTACATGCGTGTGTTCTTCATCCACTGCTGTGAAAATTATGCGCATGAGCGCATCCACTGCTGCATTTTCTTCTTGTTTTTGTTTCGAAGTGGTGGAGGAATGAATTTTGTCTTGTTTTGCTTTGCATACTGAGGGTCCTTTTGAGTTTTCTTACCACCCTCCTCAGTCTCCTTTGTTTCAGCCTCATTCACAATGTCTTTAATTTTATGCTCTCACAGATTGAAACATCTGTACATGAGTCTTTCTTTCTTTCTTTCTCAATCTTTTCTCTCTCCTGTACATATAAAACATAAAATCAGAACAGCCATATGTGCGTTTACATATATCCATCCATTCACACACAATCAGAAAAGCTTCACCCACCTTCTATTTCTGTCTTGCTTCTTTCTGAGCTCGTAATTCTGAACTCAACTCACGCACATTAAGCACAAACCTTAGCACATTAAGCACAATACTCGGGCACAATAAGTACAAAACTCACGCACATTAATATTACACACTCACGCACATTAAGTACAAATCTTAGACACATTAAGCACAAGACTCACGCACATTAAGTATAAAACTCACGCACATTAATCAACCGCACAACCGCACGGAAAGTCACAAATGCACCCGATCCCTCCCCCCCTCCCTCTCTCTCTCTCTCTCTCTCTCTCTCTCTCTCTCTCTATATATATATATATATATATATATATATATATATATGTATGTATATATATATGTATGTATATATTCTTTATTTTTGTAAATATTTTCTTCCCTTCATCATATTTCTAAATATTTTTTCTCTCCCTCGATTTTCCAACACTATCTCCAATGAAGATTTTTTATTTTTTTTTTGTTCCACACCATATTTCCCTACCTCTTAGTGTTTCCGCTTGCTTGTTGACTATGTTAGTTTCCCTGTATTTAAATGGATGTGGTGTATTCAAACCAGAACAAATAGTTTCAGTTCGATTTCTACAGTACACAATTCAATTTAAATTGGACAATTTGAATTTAATGGTGATCATCCTTACCGCACCACCACAACCACCACCACTTATAATAATAACTAATTTTTTTTTACGCGCTTTGTGCGAATGGGATAATGCCCAATAATTATTTTTAAATAAGTATTTCAAAGAATATCAATGTAATTGATGGTTTTTGGGTTTTCGGGCCCAAGGAGGTCCAACACAACCTACAGCTGGTGGATACACCTTTCACAAAAGAGTTTGAGTCTCTGTGCGATATGATGCTTAATGATCTTTGTCTATTCCCTCTCCGGGTTCTCGAATCTGTCCCATACAATGGTGGAGGAGCCCTTTTTATAGTGGCTCCTCCTCTACTGACTTAAAGGCTTATGATGGCCGAATTAAAGGTTACATTCAATGTGCCGAGCCGTTGGGCGACGTTACGGACTCTGCCAACGGCTCTCTTTGGCTAGTAACTGGCGGACCGAGCCCGGCTTTTAATGCATCAACGGCTCCTTGTCTTAACTGCGTCGAAGGCTCCCTCAACGGCTCTCTGGACCGAGTCCTCTCCTAGATTGGGCCTGGGCCGACTCCTCGTCCCCGTTTGGTATTGGGCCGTCCTTCCGGTCTCTGAACTGGGCCTCCCTCTTTGGACCTGGGCCGAGTCCTTCTAGGCCTCTTTTCTTGGGCCGGGGTTCTCACCCCATCAGTAATATTATATATGAGATTTCATGCATAAGTAAATAAATGTTAAATTTGTTTATTTAAATCGGAAATTTAAAATATATAAATGCAAGATAATATATGAGAGATTGATTATAATTGTCACTAAAATAAATATTTGCAACTTTGTAATAACGCTAGTCAGAATATATACGGAGTGCTACTTTTGATTTAAATTTCTCTAATTATTCTTAATTCTCTTTTGGGTAGCATTATCATTATCTTCATCTTCATCTTCAATACATGTCCTCTTTTTTGTTTTTTTTTTTATTTTTTATTTTTTTATTGGTAGTGTGTCATTTGCAATTGGGTTACTAGTGGTAGCACAAACAATCATTATGCTCTGGAACCGTGTCCACTTTGCAATGTGGACACGGTTCTATGTTCATAATTATAAAGTTATTTATTCCATAATTTTTGAACTTCATATTATAATTATTGAACTCTATATTTACAATTACAGAACTCTATGTTCATAATTACTGAATTACATGTTCATAATTATGAAGTTATATATTCATAATTTTTGAACTATATATTCATAATTATGAACAGTTTTGGAACCGTGTTCACCTTGAAAGGTGGACACGGTTCCACAACATAATTTGCACAGCATATACATTGTGCAATGAGATTATAGTGTAGGAAGCTTTAGATTCGCCTTGTTGTGTATATGACTGTGATTTTAGTTGTACTATGAGCTCTTTATCTTACAAGAACCTATTGATATTTGGTAGTGGTAGTTTCCCCCTACATGTTTAATGTGTTGTGAGATGTGTATCCTAGGTTATCATGTGAAAGTATTGAACAAAATATTAATATTTATTATATTTGTATAAAATACCTGGTAAATAAATATATATACCATATTTTGTATTATAACTTTGATATTTAATTACAATATAAAGTAAAAATAAGATAATAGACAATGTAGTGAATATAATAAATTAATTAATTTAAAGGTAAGTAATCTTTGAATTGTAGGAAATACAAATAATATAACCAATGAAATTATATCTCTTTTTAAAATTTTTATAATGAATATTTTTTAAAAACAAAGACATTATAGACATCTAATTCTAAATTAATTAAATGCATATGTAATTTTTTTTTTTTGTTGTAGCTACTAATTTTGTTCAACAATAATGAAATCATTGATTTTTTTTTTTAATTTCCATTCGTTGTTGAGACAAATTGTTTTGAGAGTGTGTCAATGACAATTGCTAATAAATAATTCAAAATATATGGTCACAATAGATTTATAATCATTGAGGCTCAACTTTGAATGCTATGTATTTAGTCGGGTTAATTATTTACCAAAGTTTATGTTAAATTTTATTATACATACATACATACATATATATATATATATATATATATATATATATATATATATATATATATATATATATATATATTTAATACGTTTTAACATATCCGTAGTATATGTTTAACAATTAGGCTAACTCTAATTGGGATGGGGTTCAAACCTAAGACCTTTTTATAGAAATTAATGAGTATGTTAAGAATAACTAGTAGGTGCACCCGCGAGATGCGCGGCTATATATATAGTATGATATATATATATATATATATATATATATATATATATATATATATATATATATATACAGTATAGAATATAGTTATTCGAACCTGAATAAATGTGAAATAAAAAACTTGTGATAGAGGGAATATTGAGGTGTAATACTAATATGATGTGTGTGCAGTGTGCACTAAATGTGTGTGCACTTGTGATGTGTGATAGAGGGAATATTGAGGTGTAATGCTAAATGTGAAAATAGAGTTTTTAAAAAATTAAAAATATATACTAATATGATGTGTGTGCACGTGTAACCTCTAAATAGAGGGAATATTGAGGTGTAATACTAACATAACTTTTATATATATATATATATATATATATATATATATATATATATATATATATATATATATATATATATAACAGATGAAAGATCTGGAATGCTTATCCCTATATTATTTAGGCAATATTATTTATTTTAAAATACAGCACTTAAAATAACATATATGTAATTCATATATTACAAAATAATTTAAATATAGTTAATATTAATTTTATAAAAAGACTAAACATTAATATTAAATTTTACAGGTTAAAATTTAAAAACCTCCTCATATACAACGTTGAAGAATAGTACTCGGCATTTTAATCAAAAATAACAACTTTAATTATGGTTGATAC